GTTGCCTTTGGCACATGCTACCCCAAACTCGCATCAGCAGCTTCACGCACGATCACGGTACTTTTTCCAGAAACGTCTATGTTCGTTTCTTGAGTATCACACCTCTATCGGTGTCATCGCACCGGGGTGCGTTCACTCAACACCGAAAATGGCCAGTGTGACTTCTTCCGTATCGCAACCATCGGTGTCATCGCTCCGGGGGTGGGCGCGTTGGATTTTTGTTTCCGCACGGGTATCGGTGTTACGGCACCCATCGGTGATGTAGGCACCGATCGGTGTTGTGGCACACCGGGGTGAGATAAAAAACCAAGATAGGAATGTTTCAAAAACAATCGCACCCCGGTGCCATAACACGCATAATGACGGTATCGTCCGTCCAACCCGGCAAAGAGAGAGCGAGAGAGAGAGAATGAATGAGGTTTGCCTCAGCGCCTCATCACGAAAGAAACCACGCACATACAAGATTGAATTCCACACGAAAGGTCACCTCTGCCAAGAGTCAGAACCACAAAGACACCCCCGAAAAACTCCAAGAGGCCCAGCAATTTGGAGACAAATGCCGACACTCTCGTTGACCGCAACAGACATACGTAGCTCCGGTGTGACACCTCCAAGGGGTGGAATCACTCGCAGTTTTTGGGTCTCCCAAGTCTATGGACTGCTTGCAGTTACAGTAGGCTGGGCGGAGACAACCCTATGAGATAGGCCACGTAGCAGTTATGTCTGTCTCCGCGCGGCCTTAGTTGCGCTACTTCGCTGCCCTGCGGACACATCCTTTTCTTGCGGTCTGCCAGATGAGACTACAGGCCATTTGCTCTGATATCCACGACGGCAGTAGTCAGAGTTATGTGTGTACCCATCATCGCCCGCCCAAGTCCATGCTGGTCCTCCGAAACATGCTACATGCATACATTCAACACCAAGTTAGTACGTGGTTTGTACCGCCGCACTTGTCGGCTTCCCTTGTGTCTAAAATTGCAAGTTGCCACATGCCATACGGACGAAACGCCACATGGCTGAAATGCCAGCTCGGAAATGCGAAGGTTTGGTACAGTCTGCGACCTCTGCAACCTGGCGGGTTAAGGTATTGAGTAACCTTGCTGTCTACATTCTTATCTCGAACATTGTTACCCGGCATCGAGGCTGCCACATTAAGATTATCCCCTTCTTTCAATGGGCCCACTACATTACGTTCATCATGGTGTGTCGAGAGTCGAGAGGACATGTAGTCTAGCAGGAGCATGGGGTGATCGGAATTAGAGCCAGCGTTTGTCACCAGAAATTTTAAATTCGCAACTAACTTTTAAAGATGTGAGCATCTTGCTCACCGCCCTCTTTGCGCGTTTGTGATTCAACAATAGATGCGCCACGATACCACCCCACAGCAGCGAGCACTTTGGTATCAACCCTCTCACCATCGAGATATTCCCTCCCAGCAGGGAGGTCTGATGCTTGCGTGCCACACTTCGTACGGCCTGCGATCGGAAATGCGATGCGGGCTGATGACGGCCTGTTCTGGCAGATCCCCGGGCTCTCGTATCCTCCGCGGTGCCGGCATCGCATGTCCCCGTTGGGCACATGCGACAGCCTCAGCGTGTATGAAGAAGTCGGCCAGTTGGGGATACAGGGTATGTGTCCGAAGAGAGTAAGGCGCACAGAGTATCTGCTTATGCTTTGTACGCAACAGCGACGTCCGTGTGTTGCCGCTAAATCTGTAGGTCAAGCGTAGAGGCGGGTTATTAACGGCCATTTTTTTTAAACGGGGGTATCTTCCCACTGAAGTCACGGAGCCCCTTGATCTTTTTTAATTGCTTCGCGCGACCGGAGCTCTCGTTTGAGCACCACAGCGTGGCACGCCGAGCATTCCACCCCGAGATACAGCCGAGGGAGCCACCGCAGCTCCTGCTTCTAGCCACCTTAGTCGTTTTCTTGGGGTTCTTGCTAAGCATGATCCGGCGGAAGGTGGACGAGGAGCAGGTTCGAAAGGCCTGTGCAGCGATAGATGATGGCATGTCGGTTAGGAAGGCTGCTGAGGTCTTCGGGGTAGGTCGTACGTCCATCGCAGACCGCCGCCGTGGCAAGGTGGCCATGAACACGAAGGTTGGTCCCGAGACCATCCTGAGCAAAGAAGAGGAGGATTCGCTGGAACATATTCTGCTGTTTGCTGCTCGCAACTTATTGGCTGTGGATCGGGTTCACCTCAGAGATGCGGTGCGACGACTATCCATTGGGATCCAGAGAAGGGTCGGGGAAAGATTGGCTTGCGGGCTTTCTTCGTAGGCACCTACGGGTGGCGGAGCGCTCGACCCGCATCTACGAGGCAAACAGGATCACCGAAGACGAGGAGCCTCGCATGGTGCAGTTCTACGAGAGATGGACACAGCTCTCGTCGAAGAGGTCAAACCGGAGGCCAACCACGTGCACAACACGGACGAGACAGGTGAAGATGGCTCGGAGACTAGTCTAGACTACAGCAGTAGATGCGTGGCAGCAGTAACTGCACGGGTGACTGCTGTGCAAAGACCACGAAACATGTCACACGAAAAATATCAGGCAGAGTTCTGCTCCCTTGCGGCGGAATTTTGGCCTCCTCATGTACTGCTGTAGTGTAGTCTACAGAGGCCGTGCTCCCGTATTCCTGTTTAAAAAAGCCGAAATTGTCGCTGGTTCTGGTGTAGAGTAGGCTACAAGTAGTAGTTCCAGACACAAAAGTAGAGTACAGCACTTGTTCCAGACAATGTACTGCTGTAGACTATGGTAGTCTAGAATTCACTATTTTCAGAGCTGCATCGCATCGTCTTCAGCTGGTAGTTCGAGGGAACCGGCGGCGACGAACGTGTAACTAAGTCTAGGGGGGCGATGTCGAGTAGATGCATGTGCCAACACGGGAAAAAAACTAGACTAGTCGACAGCAGTAGAATCTAGTCAAGCACCCAGCACCCTGTTGTTGCTCTCCCGGTTGCCTCGTCCAGCTACCGCCAAAATGACGGTAGACTGCGTACAGGTTGAAAGCGCTCGCCGCACGAAAATAAATGAAAAGAGCCACCGCGTGTCCCCCCCCCGTCCACCCCCGTTGCTTGGCGCGCACGATATTGATTGCAAGTGTTTGGGTGCGTGCGTACACTACCGCTGGTAGTTTTGACTATCCATTAGACTAGCCCATTAGACTAGCCTATCGCCCCCCCCCCCTACCGACCCTCACCTACGCGTTCTTCCCCGTTGCAGGTACCACCCCGCAAGGAACCAAGACGACGAAAGGGTTTGCGGAATCCGGGCAGAAAGTGGTTGGTTCGATGCGCTCCAACTCCCGAGAAAACACCACCGTGGTCGCTGCCATCAGCGCTGATGGTCACACCTGGGCACCCACCATTATCTTCAAAGGGCAACGACTTCTGGCCGATTGGTTTGTAGAGCGAAACGGCCCGGAGGGTGCGAGGTACACCTGTACGGATTCTTGCAGCGAAACGTATTCATGGCCTACTTGAAGGATTTCCACAAGCAGCTCGGCGACCGAGGGTTGCTCGACGGAAAACCCCACATACTCTTGCTCGATGGACATGCATCACACGTGAGCGTGGAGGTAGTCAGGCTGGCCATGAATCTCAAAATCATCTTGTTCCAGCTACCCTCCCGCACGTCGCACATCACCCAGCCCTTGGATGTCGTCGCCTTCGGACGCTTTAAGAAATCGGTGGCCAGAGTGTTGGCGTGCTTCTACCACAACTCCGGCGGGTTGTTGCCGCTGAAACGCGACATGCCCGGCGTGATCGCGGATGCTTGGAAAGTGAGCTTTACACCGGAGATGAATAAGTCATCATTCGCTGGGGCGGGCCTGTGGCCTGTGAACATGGAGGGCCGGCTGAAGGGGACAGCGAAGAAGAAAGAGCGGCGAGACGAGCGCCCACCCCTACAGGATGTCCCCATTGCCGCCCCCAACGAGCAGCTGGGAAACCGACATCGGAGAAAGGACCCTCAGGGTGCTGAGGGGGCAAGGGCACACCGTCACGGGAATCCGAGTAGGCACGGTGTTACTCGGTGGCCTCTTGACTCAAAGGAAGCGCGCGAAGAAGATGGCGACCTCACGGGGCTCGCTTTGGCCTTCCCGACCGAGGCAACATCACCGCGCCTGAGTTCCTGGACGCTGTTGCTGAAAAAGAACGCGCAGACAAGGCGGAGAGCGACGCGAAAGCTGCGTGGGCCCGCGAAGAGAAGAGGGCAGAAAAAACGGCCGCGGAGCTGTTGCGGCGGGCGCGCATGGCAGATGGAGGAAGGGGACGGGGGCGGGGAGGAGGGAGGGGGGAGGAAAGGGGAGGGCGCGGCGGGCACGGAGAGAGAGCGGGAAGGGGACGGGGGCGGGGAGGAGGGCGCGGGAGGAGGGGGGGGTGAGGCGAGCGGGCGGGGGGAGGGAGGCGGGGGCCGCGGTGTTGGTCGTGGAGACGGGGTGGCGGGGTGGGAGCGCGTGGCCGGGAAGGGGGGCGCGGCCGGATGGGGGGGCGCGGCCGGGTAGCTGGAGCAGAAGGGACAACTTTGTCGTAACGTCAGCCAGCGCCCTCCGTGTCCAGGATTGGACGACAACGGACGCCGACACCCGTTGTTGACGTGTAGCCGTATGGATATTTTCTCACGTGTCCTGACAGGTTCAGATTTGAATCGAACACGCCCAAATGGTCGTGAAATTGTACCCGGAGTCGATATGCACCCTGTAGAACGTCGCATGTGGTTCGTAGGCTATGCGACGGTGATATTAGGGCGCGCAAGCACCGGGGGGGCAGGATGCACGGGTTTTGAACCCAACCCGGGGATGTCATGATTTTGTCCCCGGGTGACCTGCGTATGTTATTTTTTTTTTTTATGGATGTTTTTCACTCATGGTTACAGGTTTCCTCAGAGGCACTCGTCGCGGGGGTGTAAAGGCGTTTTGAAACTACAGTTGTTTTCGGCGTTAATTCTTACCGTAGCGGCAAGCCTAAAATCGGGGAAAGGTGTCCTTATTTGACATTTAAAATGTGGTCAGGTGTGCTCCAATGGTCGTGTAATTGTGCGTACAGTCGAAACATACCCTGTAGAACGTCGTGTGGTCCGTACGCTGTTTGATAGTGACGTTCGTGCGTTCCAGTACCGAGGGGGGGAGGGATGCACAGGTTTTGACCGAAAACGCGGGGACGCGGTGGTTCTGTCCCCGGGTGGTTTTTATTTTATTTGTTTTTTTTCTGAACATGTTTCTCACTCATGTTTGAAGATCCCCTCCAAAGGTTGTGTCGTGGGGATGAATGAGTATTCCTCAATGGTGGATACAGTTTGGCGGTGTTCGGCGTGAATTCTTACCGTTAGCGGCATGCTAAATCAGGAAAAGTACCCATGATTGACAGAGCACCATTTTACGTAGACCACTCATTTCGCCGTGTTTTTTTTTTATCGAGTCGTCTACTGACTGGAATACATATTTATGCACTAAACGGGTTGTTCTGCCTCGTTTCGAACGCACAGAGCACGCAATACAGGTCACGGAGGGAAGAACCCATCCCTACCCATGGTGTCGAAAACCCGGGGATACGTCATTTTCATCCCCGGGTGTCCATCCTTTTTTTTGTTCATTTTTCCTCATTCCTATTGTATTTCACGCATGCCCACCAAACCTTGGGTCTTGAAACGCTTTCAAACGTACGAAATCAACCAATGATGAAAGTGGCCTTTGATACCCCCAGGGGTAATTTTCTCTCAAAATGGCGCCTGCAGCTCAGGTCTACGGCTCCAGCCCTACCTCGTCACTGTTGACGATTTTTTCCTCTTCTGTTTTTTAGGTAGGCGGGGGGTGATCATACCTATCGCTCGATACCACAATAGCATCGAAGTTCGATTTCCTGCTCAAGAACAAGCTCTTAGCACAGGGGGTGGCGTAAGTGGCCTTTAATACCCCCCCCTACTCCACCTGTCCACCTGCTGCTGCCTGCTGACAGGTGAGGGTACAGCGTGTATCAGTTTCGCGTAGAATCGTAGTATCCGCGGTGAAGTTCCTCTTCGGAGAGCGTGAGGCGTGCCAACTGGGTTCCGTCCGTGGCTGCAGGTGCACTGCACGCTCCCGCTTGGTGTATGCACCAGCTGGAAAGAGTATAGAGTCGGGGGTGCATCGCGTGCTACTCTACATAACGATGCGTGGTGGCAGCGAAACCTTGCCCTTTGTGCATCTGTGCCCCTGTGCATTTGTTTGACGCGAGTCGCTCAACACACATCACCACGACAACAGCAACATGTACTCCAAAAACAGCAACATAGGGTTTACAGTAGTCGTTTTGTCATCCCAGCCTTGATTGTCTTGACCCTCTCGGTAAGCTATACAAAAATCATCCTTGACAGCAGCACAAATCGTGACGAGGGGCACACACGAAGTGATTTGGTTGATGGCGCGTCGCGTTATGTCTAGCGTTTGGGGGTCTCCCACACTTTCTACAGTTTTCCCAAACAAGGGCCACCCATGGGCACCCCGTTAGGCCAAACCCATGAGCAGCCCACACGGGCTTTCCATGGGCTTGCTCTTATGGGCAACCCGTGGGCAGCCCATGGGCGACCCATGGGCGACCCATGGGCGACCCATGGGCAACCCATTGGAAGCCCATGGGCGACCAATGAGAGCCCTTCGACCGGACCAGTGACTCCCACACGATACGTGCTACGATGGCGCTGGTGGCTAAGTTCTAGGTTGGTGTGCCGGTGGCTAAGTTCTAGGTTGATATGGCGAACTTCTGGGTTGAAGTGCCCGTGGGCGGCCCATGAAGTGCCCATTAAGTGCCCATGGGCGGCCTATGGGTGACCCATGAGTGTCCCGTGGGCTGTTTAGAAAAACTGTCAGTAGTGTAAGAGACTGAGCTTTGGGGGTGAACGAACGTGATGAGCTCTCACACTTGACGGTATTCTACCGATTTCAGATCACAACATAAAATCCAAGGATGTGTGCGTGTTTGTGTTTTGTCCTAATTTGGCTTGACAGTCCCCCCATTTTTCGTGGTGAGACGCGTACTACACTTTTCAGTGTATGTAGATTGGTACACTTTTAGCGTACTTTTTCGTACAACTACCAACCATCCAGGGTCAAACTGGAGGGGGTAAACACCAGGGTCCTTTCTTCTTTTCTTTTTTTTTCGTGCCTCGCCTTCCTCCTGCAAGGGTTAGGGTTAAGGCCTTCCGAGCGGTTTGCCAGGGACTCGGCCCTGAGACCCAGCGTCGGGGACTACGACTTAAGGGCAGCCGAGGCCGCCGCCGCCGGCTCGTCGACCGCCGTCCACCCGGCCCTCGGGCGCAAGCCCACGGGGGCCCCGTACGACCCGGCGCTTAGCCGTTTCCTCTTTCACGACGACGGCCCCAGCGCCCACGCCTACAGCCTGGAGTCAGCCAGGGGGGGCGGCGGCCACGGCGGATTGGCCGGCCACGCGGCGGCGCCGCCGGCGTGGTCGTTCGGGGGCCAGCGGCCGGCTCCCAGACCCCCGGACGACCCCCGGCCAGGCACCGTCAGGCCTCCTTACATAACGAGACCGATCCCTGCTGCTCGTCTTCTCCAGCCGGGGTGAGGTTTGGGGCCGGACGCGAGGACATGTCCAGTAGCGTTTCGGGGATCCCGCGGGTGGAGGTGGAGGAGAGGGCGACGCGGGGGCAGGCGGGCGGCCGGAGAGCGAGGCTGTACCTCCCCGAGAGGGACCGCACGGGCTCGAGAGCGTTCATGCGCTCGAGGAAGTTGCCTAGGCCGGGGACCCGAGGGCCTAGCAGTTAGTCGTTCGTTTTATGATGTGTGTGTGTTTTTATTATTAGCATCGACCGCGTTAAACCGGCTGACCAATGAAAAGACGTCAGTCTTAGTGCGGTTGAAAACACAAAACACTTCTATCTGCCATGAACTGGGACCCCGTGAGGGGGCAGCATGGGGGGAGGCCAAACTATCCTTCGGATCAAAGACAGAAACAGCAGCAACAGAAGAAAACTGGACGCGTCTACCAAGGCTATTACCTTGTACTCTAGTTCGTTTAGGAGTACTTTCACCATTATCCTCCTTGTTTTCGCTACCATCATTCTGATCCTCATTTTGACAAGAATCTCTGGGCAGTTCTTCCCTAGCCCTACGTTCTGTGTTTTGGGGAAGGTCATCTGGCTCAGACCCTTTGCTCTCTTCCACTTCTCCATGTTTTCCTCCTCCATCGTCGTCTTCGTCCTCCTTTCTTCCCTTTCTCTTTCCTTCGTCTCCGTCACTCCTAAAAGAATTACCCTCATTACTATCGATGTGTGTGTCTATGTTTGTGCTGCATTGACCAGTTAAACATTTGTTAAAATGTCGTCAGTCTCCAGCGAAGCCAGAAGATAATGGGTTGTGTGCTACAGTAGGACCTTCTCCGCTAATAAAGCGTCGGCTACGCGTAGGTTCTCCTTGACACGATTGCATTGTGTCGTACAACGTGTTGTAGTTGTGAATGCAGCAAGGTTGGGGCGCACCTCTTGGCAAACGTCACCCGCACTTATCATAACAACGAACGTTATTTCTGCTGTAGGGCTCACGACGACGAACGAACGTAAACTTCACAGGCGGAGCAAGTCCAACACATCACGGCTGAACGACCATGTGGGTGGCACCACCCGTCACCCAAGGACCTTCGGTCGTATGGGTTCAAGTTTGCTTTTTGCCAACAATTTATGTGTAGCTGAAAGACGTGTGCGCCTTGTCATCTCATCTAATGTGAACGTCATTTTCCCATCCCTGGGCATGCATGTTTGGACGCGAAAATCAAGGGTCACACAGAAGGAGTCCGCACAGCAACTTTCCGTGATGCGTAGAGCCGAATAGAACATGCTTGATGATGGCCTTGCAGTACGGTCACAGCGAGTGAAAGGACGGTGAGCCTCGAAAAGGGGCGAGAGTTTGGCGCGGACATCTCTATGGTCCACTCAAAACAATCTGAAATTCCCCCCGCATCGACATACCTTGATGTATGTGTTGTTACGAATATCTTTGGCGCCAAAGCAAAAAAATGTGCCAGGTGGCTCTTCTCACGATTATTTAGTATTCCTCCAAAACACAAGAAAAGGGTTAGTGGCGATTGGCGAGAGGAATCATTTGCCGCATTCTTCTTTGAAAACCCTACAGCAGGATCTCGCACATGGCGTCCTCAAACTAAAAACTAACACCCAACCAACGCCAAAACAAAACACACTATTGTACGCATAATATCGGCGTGAAAAGTTCTGAAATCTCATATGTAGTCAAGTAAAGGAGAGTATTTTTCGCTTCGAGGAAAGGACCTGTTCCAAAAGAATTGGGTTGTTTGCTCTGTTGTTTCACTCATCATTTCGAGCTAGGTTTGGTCGATAATGGACAATCATCTTAGGAATGAAGAGTGAGGCGCTACACGCAAGCTAGTGTAAGCTGCTTGTTTCCGTGTGTTCCTGTAGCACAGCTGGGTCAGCGTGGGCCGGCATCGATGACGAGCAGATGCAAAGAGGTAATGAGAGCGAGGCATGTTTGCCCTTCATCTAACCTCATCGTAACGTTTCGACGATCCATGGTAACTTTTCGAATTTCTCCCTCCAGGGGGGGGTACTCATAGTCGTGCATGCCGTAGTCGTTAGACCATTGACCTCGCATCCCTACAAAGCCGGGACGGAGCACGCCGGGTTCTCACCGGACCAGGCTCTCACATCACCAAGCGCGAAGCACCGTGAGGTATTCGGCGAGTCGCATGAAGGGTGCGCTGTATCCTGCTAAGGGTATTCGGCATCTTGTGCTTACTTACTTCCGTACGGCTGACAGCTGCGTATGACTTAATTTGTTTTCTGGTGCTTTCATTTCCAGAGACAGTTATACGCACTGTGCAACTGCCTCGAGGGTGCTTGACCATTTTAACACAACGTGGTGCGATCATCCCCCTTGCGCGGAGTGAGGGTTCTCGACCCCGCACAACATGATCTACTCGACCTCTATTTATGGCAACCGCGAAAAACACCCAGAGGTAACAAAACAAATGGTAACCTGGTTGCCGAGCTCATAAAGTGAATTGACTTGTTTTCCAACGTCGTTGCCAAGCAAGCGACGAAAACCCAATCCCGATGGCAAACACCGAGGGGGGGGCTTGCTTTACAACGCCGTTGCCAAGCGACGAAAACCCGACCCCGATGGCAAACACCGGGGGAGGGCGGAGGGGGGGCGTACTCTTATGTTTAGCATGCCTTAGCGGTGAGACCATTGACCACGCGTCCTCAAGAGGTCGGAGCATTGTTCCCACAGGACCGATCACCGATGGCCAATCGTTCCTTCCTACTTTGCCAAAGGTGGCTCAAAAATGTCTTCCCTAGTCTGTCTATCCTAACGATATCCCTTCCCGCCTTTTCAAACCACTTCCTACTCCCCAGTACAGCTACCGTCCTTTCCTCTCTATTCCATGCCTCAAAAATCTCCCTGTACCTCCCTTGTATTTTTCCCAGCTCAGTCACGTACACTTCCCTCTCCTTCTCGTATAGCTGACATTCCACGACTACCGCATTCGAAGCCGCAATCACATTTGAACTTGTCGTCTTCGTCGTCTACCGTCCTATGTCTTCGTCGTCGTCCTCCTATACTATGTCCCCGGTCCTGAATTTGACCTTAAGCTTTGTCCCTGCATCCATTGGTCCATGCAGGTAATCCTTGAACCCTATTCCTTCTTTTAACATTCCGTACACTTCTAGACCCCACTTATCCTCGGTTTGTTTCCTAAGATTCTGCTCTTCTCTTTCGGCGCAAGCAACAGATATCTTCTCCTTGAACCCCTTTAGACCCTCCGTTTCCAACGTTTCATCTTCGTCGATGTCGAACCCCTTTCCATACCTCCTCTACAACCTTGACCCATTCCGTGGGTTGTCTACCCCTCTTTTTGTTTGCCCACTTCGCCTCCCATACTATTCTCGGCAACCTCTCCTCTCCCATCCCGCACATGCGATACTGCCATGTCAGCTTCCTTGCGTCTCTTCCCGACCGTAGGGATTGGCTCCCCAATTATGCCCTGACGGCTGCATTACTTGTGCGCTTGGAGCATCCTAGGATGATTTTCGCTGCTTTCATCTGCGCCGCCTCGAGTTCTTTCACTACCTTCTTAATTCCTTCCCATACTTCTCCGGCGTACTAGCGGCGGCAAGATTACGCTCTTCAAAACTCTCAATTTGATGCGTGTATCGAGGTGTCGGTTTGGGGGGGGGGGGTGGCCTAAGTGTCCGGAATAGTGTTCGTCGGTTGCTACACTTGTCAGTGTATTTTTGCGTACAACCACTACCACCCAGGGTCACACAGGAGGGGGTTAAACACCAGGGCTTTTTCCTTCTTTTTATTTCATTTTCGTGCCCCAGCTTCCTCATGCGGTGCCTGCTGAATTATATTTTTATCGCGACAAGGGTCCAGCCGTCAGTTTCAATCGACAACGGTACTAGCGTCGCAGGTTGGTACTCATGAGGAGAGCTTTTTCAGCTAGCTTTTTCAGTTATTTTTCGCTTTCACCAGCAAATTTTGCAATTTTTTCTCCCCATGGGGATTCGAACTCACGACCTTTGCGACTAACAGCGGTTTCAAGGTTACCACTAGACCACCGGTGCGACCGGTCGGATCAATTTTGAAATATACCGCCGAGGGATGCCACCAGCGGTGGCTACTAGCATTTGACGTGTAAATCCCGCCGTCTGTCGTTGCCTGCGCCACAGTAGTACAGCTTACGATGCTCCTAGACTTGGGATTGTTCCTTTCTGGGGGTTACACCAAGTAGGACGAGGGCTTCATACAATCAGTGGATCCTGCACAGCGTATGTACGAAAAAGGATTTCTCCTCGTTGTCCTGTATGATGTTTGATTATACCTTTCGCGCTTTTCAGGCGATTCTGAGATCTGGCAACCAGAAAACACGAACACGTACCTTCGTGGTGTCCGAGGAGGTATTTTGTATCCTTGATGGATATGTCTAACTTTCTCTAACCAGAACCCTATAATTTACCCTCTGGCAACTGCCTTTGCGTGTTTGATACTCATTTTGCTGCAGCAACACCACATGAACATCGTATGTGAAGGTTTGACCGATTCCAGCTCTAGTTGGCGAAACCGGCTCCCAAAAACAATCCATCATACACATGTTGCCACTACGCTGTCAACAATCTGCTCTACCCCAGTCATCAAAGCGCGTGGACGCATGACCCAGGGCAAAGTACCGTCGAATCGCAATAATACTGCTCACTCAATCTAACGCCTTCGAAATGTGAAGTCAAACCAGCGACCATCCTTCTGTCTGTTGCCATGGTAGCTCTAAAATCGAACCGTGACATGACCGCACTCCGAAGAGAAGAACTCATTTGTCTTTATATCCAATACGTTGCTCCAAAAAATGATTCCACGCCAGACGTAAATGTTTGAGCTTCGTGCAGTCGATACTGTTCTCACGAGAGAAAAGCTAGCAGGCCTGTTGCAATACCCAATCGAAGCGGCGCGTAAATCAAAGCGGCATGCCCATCAACAACCCCTCACACCGAAAACGTCGTTGGAAACCTGCCAAGCCCCCGCATCGATGTCTACCCGTGATTCCATATGGATCTCTGCTGCCATTCTTGCGGGGCTGTTCTCCATGAACAGTAGGTTATCTCGTTCCCGGAGATGACTCGTTTCGTAGACCTTGAAACGGAGAGAACTGTCAAGGAAAGCATTTCCTAAAGCGTTCGTTGGATTCACGAAGCGTGCTGTGATAAGAAGAGCGAGAGTGAAAACCAGAATAAGCGCACCATTCCCTAGCACAAGGACAGCCACCTGGTGGTCAGGTTGTTGACGTTTTCCGGGCCATGTGCCGTGCTCTAGCCATGCCCGACGGCAATTGGCTTGTTTTCCTGTCGGCACCGAAGCAGTCGTCAACGCATTCCCGGAGCTCGAAAACCCGGCGGAGAGCATGATTGGGGTGCCGCAGCCTCCGCAGCCGCAGCCGCAGCCCCCGCCGTCGGTGCGTTGGCGTGGCCTTGCTCTGTAGAGGGCATCGGATCCTGACCATCGTGCCCCTGCCCGTCTGAAGCTTCTCCTCCTTGCACAAACCGCATATCGCCAAGCTCATAGTCACCCCTCTTTCCCACCACGCCCTCCTCCTCCTCCTCCTCCCTCTTGTTCTGTTCCTTCAACTCCTCTTCCACCGTTTTCGAGACCTGCTCCCTGCTGTTCTCGGAAAGGTTAAACGAGGTCAAGTCTCCATAGCATATATTGATGGAACGCCGCATATAGGCATGCTACAACCCAGCTTCCGTTTCCGTATTCGTTAACAAGTCACCAAAAAAATGTCGGGGCGGGGGTACACATGATGCTTCACGGAACGGTGTATAGGTGCACCAAGTCCCATAGCACGTCATTTCGGCGGTATATTTGCTTTCATCTCAGGTGGGCGAGTGACATTTAGCTTGGAGATCCATATCCGTGTAGGTCTCTTTGTGGTGGCACTCGGGGAGTAAGTATTGGAATCAATACCACCCACACGTGGACCTGCGTCTGCAAAACCTTATTTTGCCGAGCATCCTGCATGACGCAAAACAGTGTATATACCGTTGATCAAGGGAGGAGGTGGAGCTAAAGAACATACCCAAACGTCTGCCATCGACATACAGTAGAACGCGTGCTATGGGCATCTTCCTGCTGCACAAGTTCGGTGCTCCCACCCCCATCCCGTCCTCTCTTTCCTCCCCAATCACTCATCCACATCAAGCTGTAGGGAGTGGCGATGTGCAGCCTCCCTTTGGCGTAAACTTGTGTGTGTGCTCACTCTTCGTCCCCCTGCACACTTAATCCTGTTTTCCCACACACGCACACGCACGTACTCAAGCATCGAACCGCTCTGTGACGTTTTCAGTGCGCCGCAGCACGCGTTCCTAATACCTCCTTCCTGAGGTCCTCGTTGATGGCCTCCACGCTGTTGGCATACTCCTCGAGCTGGCTCATGTACTCCATTTGCCTGTTGCAGGTGTCGTCCAGGCGAGCGATCTGACGAGGTCGCGGCATCACGACATGCGTGGCATGAAGGGCGAAACGGCACCCACGAGAGAAAAAAATGCATGCAGGAACAGTAAATGGACGAGTGCCTGTGAGTGCCATCGTCATGACGTGCTGGGACAATTTTGTGTGTGCGCAGGTTGTATGGACAAGGGTAGGCCCTACATGGAAAACAGGAATCATTGCCATGGTATCAGCGTGGCGACGCACAAACGAGAACGCGGCAAAGGCCTAGCATAGGAAGTACATGTCACTGCTTTGGTTTTCGACGGGACGCTTCGTGAGGGGTTGGGAAAATGTGTCACTCAAAAGGTGTTGCGGAGAACTGCGATAAATTTTCATTCAGGCAGAGGTTGCAAGTGCAGTTGCCATGACATCCAGACATGGGCAGCGAGTAGACGAGCCCTCTGCGATCACGAGGCTACGGTGGAAATTAATACCCAGATAGCGCCATGACGGCGAGCAAGCACCAAGGGCACGGGGGAGAAGCCTGCTAGCTGTAGACAACGAGCGGACGGGTATCAGCCATGGCGCTTGGGTAGAGAATTTCATGGATGCCGAACTACGTCGAAAGCTAGAGTAGACATCAAAACATGCATCTTCACTCACGCATAATGCAGAGTATATGCGGCTTGAAAAAGTGCCGTGAAAAACATTTCGTACGGGGGTCTTTTTCTTTTTCAACTTTCTTTTTTGTTTTTCTTCCTTTTTCCAATCTAGGGTTACCTCGCATAACGTGTAGAGGCGAGCGGAGTGGCCTAGACTATTTGTCGTTGACTTCTATTGGTTTGCGGACCCTTCGGGTCTATTGGATTGTCGTATACCTTGTTTTGGGTAAGGTAGCCTGTGACCACGGGAATCGACCCCGTCGAGTGTTTGACTAGTACGGACAGAAGAAGGTACTGGCCAGAGATAACGGAACGGTTTTTACCGTGAAGACAACAACAACAACCACGGGGGAGTGCAAACCAGGCACGACTACGTTTTCGTTTCAAAGTGGAACATGGATATTTCTGACGGCACTAACCCAGAACCGACGCCTAGGTTTGGGACAGTACAGCCGGGAAAAAGGCACTGTACAGCGTTTCGAGAGCTCTCGCTACTGAAACAAAAGTTTCGTTGGCTGGGTGAGTATCCACGTTTCCAGCAGAGAGACAAAATGAGAGAAGCACATCGGCCATGACCTTATCGCTACGAGCAAGCACGACACAACATATTATCTTCGAGGGTGAGCAGGTGTATCGTCTGCCCGCGGACCAACATAAATCAAAACGCTCTCCCCGCGAAAAGAGGGGTGCTTGCGACATGTACGGGCCCCATTCAAGCTGGTTGAATATCCGAAGTACGGAAACGAGACCAAGCAGGGTGCAACGGGTAGCAGCTCGATGGGACGTATGCAGATGAAAGCAAAGGGATGAGGTAAGCGGGACCGCGAAGGATTTTGGTTGCTATTTAGAGGAGGGTACCTTCAACTGCGTCCTATTATAGTGTGTTCTACGAAAGCGTGAAAAGGTACCAGAGCCACTCTCAATGAAGCTCGATTCTCGTAAGCAGCCTCAGAGGACATACCTCAACCGTGTTCCATGCTGTGCCTCAAACGTCAAGAATCCACACCTCATTCTCAAGCGCGGTGATGTGCTGCTGTTGTCGTTGCTGCTGCTGCTGCTGCTGCTGCTGCTGCTGCTGCTGCTGCTGGGTTTGCTGCTTGTTTTTTCCGTTTCCGTTGTCTACCCGAGGGCTCCCCGCGCTGCTCTTGCCACCTGCTCCGTCGCGCTAGTGCATTATTTGCAAGGACAAGGGCCGGGTGGGGGGGATTATTGAAAGTGTTGCATATGAAGTGATCGCGGAGGCCCGGGGAAGAGGGGAGTGCAGCAGAACGCGACCAAGGGTCAGTGCTTGCGCCTAATAAAGTCTTGGAACATGGCCCAAACTCGCTTTCCACAGCGCGAGATAGTCCTATAATTGCACCAACAACACCAACAGCAACAACAGCAACAGGAACAGGAACAACACGAACAACAACACGAACAACGGCAAACCGGGGCAACAAGGGCGAGACGCGGTGGACCAACGTCCACCTGTAAGTCGATCTTTGATCCCGTGGCTGAAACACGCACACGCGCGGAAGGCATGCATGAGTTCCACGCATACAGGATTTCAGGTTCGAACGGCAAGGGAAAGGGACGGGTTGCCGGGATTCGTGTCGGTAATGCTCAAGAGAGCCAGGCGGCGGGGGCGGTGGGGCAGCATGAGCGAGCGAAGGGTATGGCGAAGTAATGCGAAACCCACCCGAGAGGTGAACCCGACTTGCTTTCCACCCTTTCAGGACCCACTACACCAAAGGAGCCGTATCCAGCCACACGCGCCGCGATAGAAACACGCACCAAGTCCAAAGAGCTCCAAGTTTGAAGCAACAAGACACGGGTACTACATAACTGGAGTAGATTGCGCTCTACGAGCACCTACGCGTGCATGTTGTTCGTCAGAAGCCATACGAATTTTCAGCATGAAGAAATAGCGGCACCTTGAAGGAATCTATCTCCCGCTGGAGGACCTTCTGCTTCCGTGAGCTCGCGGCGGCTTCTTGCTTCAGGGCCTGGGACTCGGCCTCCACGGCGTGAAGGCGAGCCTGGAGCTCGGCCGCTCGGGCAGCGAGGCCTCTGAAGGCTTCCAGCTCTTCTGGCGAAGGGATCTCGGCGCAACCCACGCCGTTTCGGCCGACGAGGTTGTTCATCACAGCTCTATTTTCGCCCACAGAGATGGGGAGAGACGACCAGCGAGCGAGCGGCGTTTGTACGATGGCACACGTGGGGTGGGTGCGATTCAAGCTGACGTAAAAAATGAACGAGGTGGTGGATGCTTGAGTGGAAAGTTCCATGGCAGGATGACTCCGTGAGAGCGACGACAATGGTGGGTTTCCTCCCACAAGTCACGGTGCACCGGGCATCGCCCAGTCTTTTCTCTTATCCCACGAGAGGTGTTACGTGCAAGTGGTCCAAGTACAATCAACACAAATCGAGCTGGATGCATTTGGCGTTCAGGACAGCCAAAATCTTCCACGCGTCTAGCAACATGGTGCGCGTGTTGGTGTGGTGCAGATTCATTCGCTCATGGTATCATTTTTCCAAACACAAATCGAAAACATTATCCATTTTTCAAAGCAAACGAGAGAGCAATTTCCTCTTGTGGCGATGTGATGGAAGACGGGCCCTTTCGCGACTAGAGAATACACCGAAGAAGCGCATGAACGGCCTCGTGGGGGTAGCCGGAACCACAGACGCCAATATGTTGAGTATCTGGAAAGGAATGCAAAACAACACCAACTCTTTTAGAGAAGTTGGAGTTTTGGCGGAGAAATAGTCTATACAGATCCACCGACAAGCCACTGAGTGACGACGAGATGCACGTGCATCCGGACACTCCCTCAATTCCCACAAACCAAGGGCCTCACAAACGTGAGTGTGCTTTTCGAAGAGTGCGTCCCGTCCGAAGCTGGGCTGTACAAAGTCTTCGTTGGAATACACGAACATCCGTCCGCGCTGAAATGTTTGTTATCCGTGTCTAAACATTTGTTATGCTCTACTCACCACTGTACATACTCTAGCCACCAACAATCTTGCCCGCACATGCGTAAGGCATGCTTCGACCCTCTTAGGCGTGAACCCGCAGGAACATTTTGCAACAAGCTCTCCCTCTCTCACCGGTGACGGGAGTAGGAGGCGTTGCTTTTCTCCAGGCTGTCGACGAAACCTCGCTGCGCCTCCTTCAGGTCTCGCTCGTTCTCTTTCAGCTTGGCCTCGTTGTTGAACATCGACCGCTGAAAGTCGGACGATTGTTCGCTCAGCTTGGCTGGGGAGACAAGGCAGCGGCGGGAGGGGGGGGTGGGGGGCGAGCTAGATTTTCTTGCATTTTGACCGTTTCGACGCGTAGAAACCACGCATCCTCCGTAGTCCTGGCGAAGATCCCACAATAAACAAACTCGGGCACTCTGTGCGTGCCTTACCATCCATGACACTGGGGGGTAAGGAGGGCGACCGTGCCAATCTTCCCTTGCCAAGGCGATTTCGTTTCCCCGTGGGGCGGCCATCTGGTCCGCACACTGAACAGAATGCACCAACAGGGCTTGAGTGTACTACAATGATTGATGAACCAATCGGCTGCGGGTCAACAGTTTCTGCTGGTGAAGAGTGGTCATCGCGAGGACAACAGGCGCTGATCGATACATGACTCCCGCTCCGAAGTTGCTCGCTTCTCTACTCTAATACCTGCCAGCGCCGTCCCTTCATTCTTTACGTCCCCCATGGTTACCCGTTCACTTCGAACAGAGCAACCCTCCCGATTGACCAGACGCGAGCCATTCCTAAAATAATTGCCTGAGACCAAATCCACATCAACGAAAAACTGAGTGAGATATATCACGATGCTGACTGCCAAAAAAGCTGATACTCCTGTCGTAACACACAAACGTTTTTAACGCACGAAAGTCAACACTGAGATGTACGCATGCCTGTCCCTGCGGGTCTCCAACCCTTTGTACAGTTTTCCCAAACGACGCATGGGACTGCCATGGGTTACCCCTGGGTGACCCATGGGCCGCCCATGGGCACTCCGTTAGGCCCATGGGCAAAAACATGCCCATGGGCCACCCATGGGTCACCCATGGGTCACCATGCGCAACCCATATGACCTGCCCAGGAACGTGCCCATGGGTGGCCCGTGGGCAGACCATGGGCGGCCCATGAGCAACCTATGGGTAGCTCATGGGCGGCCAATGAGAGCCCTTCAACAGAACCAGTGTACTCCTAAACAGTAGATTATCTGCTTTGGAACGGGAAACATAGCCGTAAATAACCCCAACCCTAACCCTAACCCTAACCCTAACCCTAACCCTAACCCTAAGCCCACACGATACGTGCTATGATGGCGCTGGTGGCTATGTTCTAGGTTGATGTGAAGATGGCTACGTTCTAGGTTGATATGCCGGTGGCGAAGTTCTAGGTTGAAGTGCCCACGGTGGGCACTTCATGGGCCGCCAACGGGCCGCCCATGGGCATTTGCATGGGTCACCCATGGGCAGCCCATGGGCAGCCCATGGTCGGCCTACGGGCGGCCCATGAAATGCCCCATGGGTGGCCCATGGGGGACCCATGGGTGTCCCATGGGCGGTTTACCAAAACTGTCAGTAGTGTGGGAGATTGGTCCCTGCGGGCTATTGCCTGTGCCATGAGATGTTCTCCAACGCGCCGTAGAGGTGTCGCTCGAACTAACGTGGAGTACAGAAGCGGGTGAGAAACACGGAAACATTTGCCGGTGAGCTTTCAAAAGCCACGAAATAGCAAGGGTTCAAGCCACGGATGTTCCTCAGACGAAAAAAACAGCGGCCAGGGTACGCTTCCTTGTGCGGGATAGACACATTCAATGGGCCGACTCGACAGAACGGCCACGGCATCCAGGCAATGCAAGCAGAAAAGTTGCAAACAAGTATATGGAGCTGTACATTTACTCCGGTGCCCGCATCAACAACGAGCAAATGCTGCACACACTACAATGTCGAAGTCGGAATGTGAAAATTGACAAAGGATAACACGCAGCTACTGCATTCACTCCACTGCCCTCGCCGATCCACCGCACCATTAAGGTCTCGCTTGCTGTGGCAGCCAGCCACCATATGGTCAAGAACAAATACAAGGACGGGGCCAAACGCCAAGCGTGCCGCGAGCTGGAACGAACTCCGAAAAGTCAATCATGGTTTGTAGAGAGTGAACAATCTCCGGCCATTGCCCGCGTCTCTCACCTTTTTCGGCAATCAGGTCCTCGTTCCTCCTCGAAAGCAGCCCGATCTCCTGCTGCAAGGACACCCGGTCGGCCGAGGCCACCTCTAGCTCACCCTTGAGTTGTGAAACCTTCGCCTCCTCGGCATCGGCCCTCATGCGTTGCTGGCGCAGCTGGGACTCAAGCTGTAACATCAGCGGCAATCAGGAGAGCATCAATTGGCTGAGTCAAAATCATCCAAACACAGCAACGGGCAAGGATGACCACAGTGCCGAGGATAGAGAGGCTAGGCAGGCGTTCCGCTGCTGAGCACGCACGTCGATCGCAAAAGTGCGGCGGGAAAACATCTATGGCGTTGGAGAGCAGGCTTGAATAGAGCAGAAACTGCTTGAACGAATGGGGCGGTGGAGTGAACAAAACATGTCACTGGTTGTAGTTCGTCGGGTAGGCTATCTGCGCTATCTTGAGGTCCCTGCAATCCCTGCAAGCAGTATTGCTACACGTACGGCATCCTGTGGAATCAATGGCGCAGCCAGTTTTCATTTTCGCCTGTTCACAGGCTGTCGTTGTCGCACCTGTAGCTCACCAACTACCTAGGCCCGAGAGAGGCTACTTTCGCTGAAAAGCGGGAATCCTCACTCAGATCATATGCGTGCGAATAGAGAGGATCAGGTGAACCTTAAACGTCACATTAGAGCGCGTCCGAAGCCTCGTAGCAGATCGGTTATACTAGACTTCACAGGGAATCGAAGGGAAACCAGTGGACGTTTGCGTTCAAGCCAACGCTTGCTCCCACCGCCATCGGGGGTCACTCGAGGCAACGCATTGTTAACGCGATACAATTCATCTGTCTCGCTGTAGTGGTCTCTCTCCCGTCTCATATATCCGTGCCCACATTCCCGTCGCTTCTCAACAACGAAAACATGAGCGAACTAATTCCGGGTAGTTAGCTCTGACTTCGTTTCGTCATCCTCCTTACGAAACACTAAACGGCCTACAACTATACGTTTGAGCTTTTGGGGTCTACGGTCAAGTTCCGGTTCTGCACGGAATCAGCTGCTCCCACCGACACGTCACCTTCAGGCGTTCGCCATCTCTCTTGTTGATATCGTCCACCAGGGAGCCCAAGTGCCCGAAGCCCGCCATTGGCTACACAAGCGTCAAGCGGCAGGCAGAATGCTGTGTCACAAGGGCAAATGGTCAGAGTGAAAATGCGGGCGTCTTTGCTCGTCCGTGGCTGCAACTGATTGGCACGATGTGGTGTGTCTTGTCCCGTGAAAGAACACGTTTTCGAGGGCGTGGTGGCTGCAAGAAGCAGCAAGTTGCGAGTGAAACACGAATAGATCTCCCCTTGGCTACACCGGACACGATGAACACCAATGGGCCTTGCATCGATCTGCGAACTTCGACCCACACGGGGTGTTGAGTTTTTGGAGTCTTATGCTTATGTGCCCAGCCGCTGCAGTAGGAGGATATTCTTTGGCATCGGGGCACTTTTATCTGCCGGAGGTTGACGAAAGAACAGAGTACCGTGAGCGACCGAGCACCAGTGTAAACGTCGACATTTCCATCTCCTGCTCCAGTCATCGATCGTTTTATCTGGCCGGCAAGTGAAGAGAAGGTCGCTATGATTGGTCTCAGCCACACATAACAGCAGCACCCAAAGATGATGAGCATCGCAGGTTGCCCTCTGCGGGGTCCCCCTGACAGGGGGCCCGCGGAGGACACTACATGTTGAAATAACGGATCCGTGTTCTTGCGTCCTTAACATCATAGCCCTTTGACGTTGACGACAAGCAGGCAGGCAGGCAGGCAACAGTCCACCACTATTATATGTTGAACAACGCAAAGTCAGCCTCATGGCGACAAGCAACGCCAAGGGTGCTTCCCACTCTGCGGGCTCCCCAGACGCGGCACACGTGTCTGAAAGAGACGGATTCTTCACACACTCGCGTGTGTGTACGGAAGAGACCGCATGCCAGAAGGGTGTCCAGCGTTTAGATCCGCCCATACTGTTCAGATATGCTGGTTGATAAAGTATGGGAATCAACTCGATAACTGTAGCGACCTTGCTGGAACACCGACATATCGAACCAGCCGGGCCGGCTACTGCTGTATACGTCCCTTGGTCTATGTACTCCTGTTTAAACACGGCTCCAGGGCCTAGGCCTGTCCAGTGATACAAGATCAGTAATGGTACTTTATTGACAACGCCTGTGGTCACTGGCAACACCGTTGTCCTCATTAACAACATCATTGTACAAAGTGGCGGCGCAACCTGCTACAGCGGTATAGCTGCTGTGTTCAGGTGTGGCACTTCGAGTGTTGTCTCATACTCCTCGTGTGTGCATGCAATGCTGGGGATTCAGACCTGGTTCACTGTTTCTCCTGGGACGGGACGACCTCCAGGCTTCTACAAGCTCGTCCTCACTCACAGCAGTGATATGCTGGCTAGGGCAGTCAAACAACAGCAGTGCGGTGTGAGTGAAATTGCTGGCATTACCGTTTTCCACGGAACCCCCTTGGAAGAGGGGGTCTGCGGTTGGCGGGGTTCTTGTACGCAAAAAAAAAGCAATCTCCCCTCACTCTTCACATCACGTTTGTATTGTAATGTGTTCTCCGAGCTCTTCTCCTCTCGCTGCTGTTCAGCCAGACGAGAGGCACACGGAATGCAATCGAGATCCAGCAAACCCAAGAGACCCAAGAACTTCGTTGCGGCACATGGCGCTGGCTCCCTTGGCGCTCCCAAAACGGGGGGAATCCACCTGACCCACACTACTTTCACGGGTGGAGAATTATTGCAGGTGTTGATGAGAGGGCAAATGGTCATATGATTGTTGCTGTGAGGCGACGGCAAAAGCTAGCCCGCTGAAGCCAGTCCCTGCGGCGATGGCCCAAAGGGGCATCGTTTCCAGGGGGAGAAGGTTTGTGTATGTAGTTCCGTGCCTTTCGCCGCCGAGGTCGCGATAGCTCTCCAAGCACCACCGGCGGCCCCACGGAGGACCTGCCACGTAGGGACTGCGGAGTAGCCCCCTACTCTCGAGCTAGTCTATCTGTTGAAAGCGGACACGCACGCTGTGATAACTGTTTGAACTGTAGATATCCTGTCACAGGTGAGACGTAGCCTTCTTCTGCGACGCTTGAAAAGTTCTCAGGTTGGACCCTATGTGAAGGGAAGTGAGCAACCTGAGTACAGTGAGCAGCTGTGGACTTCATCGAAGCGGGTAAAGATTATTTCTGAAGAAACATCAATGTACGACTTCCAACGACGTGCCACCAATACCATGGCAGAGAAGCTGCCGTGAGTATATTTCACGTACACCCCAGCTTCCACTACGGCTGACTGACGCGGAACAACATGATGGGTCGAACTCATTATCTCTCTCTCTTATGAAGTTCATAAGATCCCGGATTTTTGGTCGCTTGTTGTTCGATTGTTGTTTCCCATATTTTGTAAAGGTTGGCCACCCCACATAATATATTCGGCTCCACGGCAAGCCCTGGCGAAGCCCTGACCCCTAAGGTATGCCTTAGATGCGCCAAAGAGTCCATCATTCGGAGGGCTGTCATATTCAGTGGTGTCCCTATTTCATTTTCACGCTGTAGGAACGTGCCGAGTCCCTGTCAGGTACGCGAGGCAACCAAATGAACTCCGGGATGTGGAGACACCTGAGGAGGGGCGGTGGTTGACCAACCTCCTATTCCGTTCACGATATTTTGACCGTGAGGTCTAAGGCACGTTCTTCAGAAGATCGAATGAAGCGAGAAGGCCAGTCACTGACGCTCTTCAAACGTGTTGGAACGCCGTAGGTTCTTCCCGTGTTCGTGTCTGAAAGGCATCAGTCTTCGTGCCTGCCTATCCCACGTGGCCGAACCCGGATATCACCCCAAGCGAAAACGCGTTGTCCCGGGGATCCGAACCAAACAACCCTCTCGTGTGCTCTCGAAGGAATAAATCAAGGGTATGACAGCTACAGTTTTGAATGTGTGTGTATCACGGCGAAGGGCCTACGTCACAGAGGTGGTACGTCCTTCTCTTCCAAGCAGCCCAGGCTTGAACGTTGGAGAGCCCTGAACCACGTCGCTCCGCTCCAACCTGTCTGAAGGAAAGCAAGCGAAAGACGCCAATCCATTCCAGCTCGTTTGTCTGATTGCATGCATGTTGGCAGAAACCCTCCACGCCACGACCCTGCATGCGATGACAGACGGCAGCAGCATCAGGCCGCACAGAACACCCCGAGCTCTAGCTTCCTCTGAGTCCGACGGTCGGCTCTTGGCAGGGGACCAAACCGAAACTGTATGATTCATCACAACGTAGCGCAGTAGCAATTCTATGCATACCTGTCTTTGGATTTGGTTACCGTTGTCATTCTCGGGTTGCGTGTTCGCGTAGAGGCAGTGACTGATTCCTCACATGGCTCTCATAGTATTTTTCTCAACGTTATTGGCCACGTTTGGGCAGGGTTTGTGCAAGCATTCCGGCTGTTGTGAGGTTTACTCCCAAATGGATAGATGCCGTTTTCTGTGCATGCACATCACATCTTTTCCACCGAAGGTGATGGGAGCAAGCCGGGTGATCGAGCATGCGCATGCGCATGCGTATTACTCCTCTCAATTATGAGGGGGGCAAGACTAATGATCTTGGAAGCGTAAGACGAAATGCGGTAAGCAGCACAATCGAAAGACATTAGGAACTCAGGAGACGACAGGAAAGACACTTCTTCGTCGTTTTGGAGAAACTCACGGCTTCGCTGGTTCTACGGCCAAAGATAACAACTTGACCCTCGACCCCGAACAATTGAATTCCGTGTACCATCCGGCTGGTACTGTTGGCGATGTGACTGCGGTGTTTCACTTGATTCCCAGGTTCCCCTCCACAAAAGACGTCACATTCCCAGGTACATGCAAGACTCCGATTTTCTGCTTCTGGTGAAGACCCTGCACCCCAAACCTCCACTGGAGCCAACTCGACGAGACAAAGGGCGACAACGACAATCGCTTGTACATGTAGTAGTCTTCGAGGCCTCCCTGGACGAACCTTCACAGTAGTTATTTTCAAGGCCAAGGGGCAACCTTCCGAAGGAACGGCCGATATCTAATCCTTATGGTGCTCACGAGAGAGAAAGGGTACATGTCATGTGTGAGCAATTCCAAGTGCATGAAAAAACAAGATCGTCACAGCACCCGATATGTGTGAACCACGAATTAAACAAGTGTTGTGATTTTGTGGGAGAGGAAACGTTGATTCACATCCAATGTCGTTCGTCGTCCTTCCTAATGGGAGAAACCCTATGTAGGGAGGTTAACTTGGGTCGGTAGAGAGATTTTTCTCACGTTTAGTTGCAACTTCTTCCTAAGCGCTCGCCAAGATGATCGAAAACCCGAGGTCTGTGGAAGGAATACTTAAATCATTTTTCTCCACAAATTGCTTCCTAAGCGTTCCCCACAATGATTGACCGCTGATCTGATGTTGCAGCCCCAATGATGAGGGGAATGATTATGGCCGGATTATTGTTGCATACCATCAGTCAGTAGAAACAAGGCCCAGAATTAAATCTGTACGCGTAGTTGTGTGTCCTCCGATATGACTCGTGCGTGGGATTTTATTTTGCGAAGGGCGGAAGGGCGGCGTGATATTTCAACAATGTGTTGGTGTTTAGGAGTAGACACACCAAGTTTTCGTTGCCATCCCATACCTACATATCTTTGTTGGGGCGATAACCATTATCTCAACATGTTCGACAACCGTCGCCTCCGTGGGCGCACAACTTTCCTGGCAGGCCTACATGTAGTGAAACCTCCATTGACCTTTTACAACAACTCAACTGTCTAACTATAGACCGAGTTTAGTTGGACGTGGTAAACATTAGGAACATGTATGCCAAGTCGTATTCAACTGACACCGCGAGGAGGTACCGGTCATTTCGTCAGTCGACCCACACTCCTTCGGTAAAAGTGGCGCGGACTTTTTCCGAACAAGTGGAAGGCGAGCAAAGCTCAACAGGGTTGCACCTACAACAACCGTGCCTTGCGGTGGGATCGCGTGAATATGTGAACCCATGGAAGGAACATACATCACGAATCCCGTCCCGCAACGTATAACACGTATAACAATGAAGAGATTCCCTCTATTAGCACACCACCAACGTTCGAAATACAGGGAGCACGCCACCCCCTCTACGCTGTACATTAATGGGACTGCACCAGATGGGGGTAACACAGACTCGACGGTCGAGAAGAACGCGTCCGTTCTCCAACTGATCGAGCTGCTCATACCAAACTATTGTGATACACGAACGAGAGGCGGCGGTAGCCAGCTACAGTAGCGTAACCTTCACCACCTCCTTCATCAGCACTTGGAGCGGAATACCAGCTACCCTGGAGAACACACGGATAATGCCTTACGCATCAGCATCAATCCGATGTTCTCAGGCTAGTGAATCTGGTTCCTGCGCACACTTTGATGTGGCGCATGCTACAGAGTATTTTACCAACAACGACCTGCTCCTATCAGTAGAATAGAGTCAATACATGGATTTCCACTAGGTTAAAAACTGACTGCTCTTTGTCCTATAGAAAACTCTCTGCTAGTACTTGTCTTCCAACCCCCCATAAAGAACGTAAGATTCACATTTTCACTGAAAAAATCCTAGCTAATCTCTTGGACTTAGAATCAAGTGCTCCCACTCTCTGTACAACAACTAGCGGCACCATTTTATGAGCCATCTTAGATGCGGTCAGTAAAACAATCGAAATAGTGGACATCTATTTATGACATACCTTAGATGTCGAAAACAAAAACAGAAGAAATAGTTGATGCTTCGCAAGAGGTAACAATAGCCATAGCAATTGGAAATGGCATCCACCCGCCAAATAGAGAGAAAACATATGTAAAACATTTTTGTCAGCTGGACATGAAGTCTCACGGGTTTCCTTAGAATAATCACGTGTAAATATAATAATTTGCTTAGACGTATGGACGTAAATTGCAAAAGCATGAAAATAGAATATTCTGCTGTAGTCGTATGAAAGTACGTTGTAAAAACATGTGAAAACAAAAGCCTGCTGTATGAAGGCACGTTAACATCTAAACAATAAGCCTGTTGTACGAAGGTACATACTGTATGTTGCAATTAGTATTATCTGCTGTAATCTTGGAAAGTTCGTTATTATGGTACAAGTTACGGTAGAGAAATCGGTTTTATGATCCATTGCCAAGAGTAAAGACAATAAGAATGAATGTGAAGTAATTCTGTGGACACTAAAATTTCATAATTTGTTGTTGCTGGTGGATGGAATGAAACAATGATTTCACGCGGCAGTTACATCATAAACTATCTACACAATTGTCATGTAGAGAAACATCATGAATACACCGAATCCTTCCAAATGTCCGATTGTTTGAGAGTTGGCGTCAAAAGGAAATAGGTACACAATAGGAAAGGAAAAAAATCGCAAATATTTGAAATTTTCGACATTCTAAAGCTGGTTGTTTACATCTTGACATTCTCCTCCCCTACTGCTGCTTCCTAAACGTGCCACTTCGTTTTCGGTTCCACGGGAAATAGTGAAATAGCAATACATGCTATACCCGCCTGCACAGGAACTTCAATATATTTCAACAACAACACCCAACGAGCCGAACTTATTGACGGTTAACTCTGCCAAACGATTCACTCCCCCATGATAACCGTGGGGCTTTCCTCCTGCTCGCCCCTGTCTTCGTAGGGTACTGCTGCCACTTCAACTCTACTACACCGGGGCTTAACGTTAGGTTTCCCCCTACCAGGTATCAAATGGAAGAGAACACAGCGTCTCCCCGCAACAATGTTTGGGCAACACACGGCCGGGGACTTGTCGAGCTGAACCGTGCTGAGTCGCCGGGCCGGCGTCCTAAACTTTCGATTCCTGGTCGACATGGTGTCGAGACTTCGCTTCACGCATGAACCGCGCAACAGAGAGGAGGGGCGCACTCAGTGCTGCTTCGCACTACATGAAATTCTCGGGGCAGTCGATTCGTGCATCGTGCCCTCCTCGGCGTACTGCTTCCGCAAATTGTTGTGCTTGCGACCGTAGTCCTCAGACATGTCGTTGTGGAACTGATGGTAGATCTTGCCCTCTCGAAGAACGGGAACGTTGCCCTGTTCATGACAAACACCTTCAAACAAACACACACATACGTGTTTCGAGGGTGAGGTGGGATAGTGATGTCGCGGTCGTGATCGCCGCCTGGATGTTTCTCTACATCGGCAGGCCCCGAAAGCTCACCCGGCACGCCCATCAGAGACCTGTACACTCCCCTCCTCGGTCCTGGACACAAGGAAAACGAACCTCCAATCAATCATGAACGGATTCGAGTGATCAATCTAAGGATACCGAAGGAAAACAATTTTACTGCCTAGTCGAAAACATATCAACAGCAGAGCAAGTATAAGAATGCTCGCTGGACAGTAAGAAATGGCTACAGGTGTAAGACGCCCTCAGATTTTGGTGGCGTGCTGTTTCGAAAATGCACAGCTCAAATCGCGGTATGTGTACGAGTCAAGTTTGGACGCGTTTCCGATTCATATACAGCCGTTTCATTCCCATGAAACGCCGTCAAGACTGCCCCCTAACAGCCGATTGTAGATAGCGATGCCCTCCGCCCTCCACCTCTTCAAGTAACCGGCGGGAACAACAATACGTGTCGTGTGCTTTGTGTACAGTAGCGAATCCGATTGGTGATTGAATCCAGCTTGGCTAAAACAATTTCAGCACACATTGTAGTCTTGCTCTCTCTCCCTGTCTCTTCTCCTCGAGAAACAGGCGTGCCCACAGGGTGGCCGCAACAAGTGCCTCACATCACCACGACACCTGTTGCGAATATACACGCACTTTTCCCCTTTTTCGATTCCTGCGGAAGACCTGACGGTATCATACCAGCGCTTTAAATAGGTGTTGCGGAGTTGCGGAAGCGCAACAATTGGATGGATATTGCGGCTTGCCGCAACGAAAAATTTTGGCCCGCAACACGTTCGCCGTAGGCGAAAATTTTTTTGGGGGGGGGTCCACTTCGCCGTAGGCGAAAAAAGTTTTTTGGGGCCCTTTTTCTCGCCGTTATTAAATAACAACACTATTTTTGACGTAATTTCCTTTCAAAACCAAGTAAATACCCCAAAAAAATCGGGGCCCTCCCGGGGGGCCCTCCGGGGGCCCCTGGCGGGGGGCCATGCTCCGCAACACGCCTGCGGCGTGTTGTTGCGGGAGCCTGGTGGCCCCGCAACAGCCGCTTCGCGGCTATTTAAAGCGCTGTATCATACTTTGCACAACACGCGGCGGAACACGGCAGGGCACAGCGCACACATACTCGATCCGCCAGCCCAGCCTCGTGTGTTGTTTGTAACCCTACTCTCACACCCTCTTCTGTCCCTACCACCGTCTCTTGGCTTCCCTCTTAAGGCCTCACCTATCTCCACCAAGGAATCCGCCGCTGCTTCCGCGCTCTCCAGCACCGGCCGTCCAACCGCAACGTTAGCCGCCGATGCTCCCACGCGGGCTCCAAGGATGCCATTCGCTGAGCTGCCGCGCTCTTCAAAAAGTCCCGTCTGGTCGCGCTCGTTGGAGGACCCTTCGGGGCGGCCGTCATCAAAAACTCTGAGCACCACAGCAGAAGCGTGGCCAGTGCTACCGCAGGGTAGGAGACCAGCCCCGGTCCTGTGGAGCTCGGATGGCAGGGCAGTGTATGTTGTTGGATTCGCTGGGTCGTGCCTATGGAGGGTGGTCTAGAGAGAACGCGATGTTGGTTCGGAAACTGAACCTTTGGTAGAATCTTTTTTTTTTGGTCTTGGTCGCGCTGCGGCACTGCGGCACTGCCTCTCTGACACGCACCCTATGGATTCCATAGCACGCACCCAGGCATACAAATTAGGTCATACCAGAGCCTCTTTCGTCCGTTTCTCTCGCTCCACGTGCGTCACTGCCCACCCCTGCATGTCTACCACTATTCTCCTGCTGGCTGACGGCTTGGCTGCGCGCAATTCCCCAGCGTCATGCTTTGTCGCCGCTGTACATGTAGGAACTCCTCCTACCGCTGCTGCTGCCGCTGCTGTTGCTGCCGCTGCTGCTGCTGCTGCTGCCGCTGCTGCTGCTGCTGCTGCTGCTGCTGCTGCTGCTGCTGCTACTGCTGCTGCTACCAAGATTTCCGCCGGTGGTAGCGATACCAATCCAGCCTTCACGCTCTACAACAGTGACAAGAACCCTTATTACACACGACGTACATGGTAAGCGTGGCCCTGCTTTCTGTGCTGTGCTGTGCCATTTGTTGACGGGGGAATCCAAGGACTGCAGATAACAGCAGTACTGCTGTAGCAGTAGTTCGTTTGGTTTGTATGCTATAGTACAGCAGTATGCACATGATGCGCTTCGTACGTGGAATAGAAAGTCTAATATTTGCGTTGAATATCAAGGGAACGTAGCCTGGGCCAGCGAAAAACCGGCATGTCTCTCCGTCCCGGCATTGTAGGGATGCGAGGTCAATGGTCCAACGACGGCATGCGTTTATTTACACGAGCACCCTTTCTTGAACGTTGTTCTCTCTCTGCAATATTCGTTCCATCACATGTCTTTTGGCACGTTTCACTCTTCAAGCACCAGATTTCCGTCGGCTGCTGACTGGCCAGCACTCCGAATGTTTGGCTGTCGCAGGCCGCTTCTCCTATCCATATCACTTGGATTTTGACTACACTTCTTTCCGGGATTCCCGTTTCTCCCGATTCTCTTGCGCATATTTCTCCGATTCTCCGCAGGTCGCTTCTGGCTCTCCTCGTGCCACGCGCTCCACAGCCCAAACCCCACACACTCGCTCTCCGCACAGCACACTCATATTTCAGCAGCACTCAACTCCTTGTGTTACAGCAGCGACATCCATGCCCTCGCGCAACATCTTCGACGACTCTCTTGCCCCCAAGCGCAAGCGCCCAATACGTTTCAAGCGCCAGATTTCCGCTGCCATATGAACTGCTCACAGGGCCAGCCTTGTGATTTTTCGAGCTCTCCCAGGCCACCATTCCATCCGTTTCGCTTGGATTGAAAGTGCATTTGGTCCTCCGCGCGGCAGTCCGATTCTCTCTCCTTGCAACAGCTTTTAATGCTCTCCCCAATTCGTGCCCCGAGCACGCACGCGCTCGCTCCGCAGCCGCTGACGCTCACACTTCGTTTTCCGTTGGGGTGTATACATACACGTTCTGTCTTTTTTTTTTCGTTGTGCTTGCTTTTGTTTTCGACTGTGTGCGGCAGGCAGCCTACGAGGGACGTAGGGAAAGGTGATTTGTGCACGCGTGTGTACCGGTATGTCTGTTACACTCGTCAGGGGGAAATTCTACGTATGTATCGGTACATACCGGGAGAGCGAGCACGCTGTTCTCTCTGCATGGATGGATGGGATGCGTTACGAACGGTACTTTTTCCATGTTCTGAATTCTGAGATCGAACACGTCCGCGCCGCTTGTCGATCTTGCAAGGGGTTTGGGGTTGAATGGACGAAGCTGCAGGGTATCCATCCTGTCGTTGACACGGTGCGATGGTTGAGTACATACTGGCGTTATCTTTGGTATCGGAAAATCAGGGGCGGATGCATGGCCTTTGCCGGCGGCGGTGGCGGTGGCGGCGGTGGAGACCGCGACCAATAGATGCGAAAAGTGAATCAGTTTCAGGCACATATTGTTTGGATTTGACCAAAACAATAGGCTCATGCACCAGAGAAAAATCGTATATCTGAATGTCACCCCGTTCGCTTGTGTCGTGAGCCTTACCAAGAGTTTGATGTGGCCCAACGTACACGCACTACAACGCGCACCCAGTCAGATGTGCTCGCTGCTCTGAGCAGGCGCGGCCTCGAACCGCGCGCAACAAAGCCAACGGAGGGGGCGACGGAAAGAGGCCCGGATGGTACCCAATCTCTTACATCGCCAGCACCCTTTCTCCAAAGGCAACCGAGGCTTCCCAAGATACCGCAACTCCCGCCCCCAACGAGAAGGAGGGGGGGGGGGGCGGCAAGAGGGGGAGGCAGCCGCCGCCGCAGCCCCCGTGAGTTGATATTCTGCCATCTACCTATGTCGCTACAGAGTGTTTTTTTCCAAGCGCCAAGAGGCGGAAGACTTCCTGCTGGGAGCAGAGGACCCGATGCTCAACTCGCCTGACGCCTTCGCGACAACTCTGGCGTCACTCGAGCTAAGTCATGAATCCCCCATAGGCAAGCGTCCGGTTGACGTAGAACCCCCCCCTATGACCGTAGCAGGCGTTGTCAAGTCAAAGTACAGGGAGGGGTGGGAACAGGCCATGAGGGAAGAGTTTGATGGGCACTTGGACAAAGGAAAACTATTTCGTTTGTAGACGGCACGCCAGAGGGGCGTTTGCCTGTGAGTTCGAAGTGGTGTTTCAGTTGGAAGACAAACAAGGAAGGGAAGATTGAGTAGTTCAAAACGCGTCTCGTTGCTAGGGGGTTTTCGCAAATCCCGAACGTGGACTATTTTCATTCGTCTTCCACTTGCCCATCATCCGCATCCATAGAATTGATGCTTGCGGTAGCAAACGAGAAGGGCATGAACATAAGTTACTGGGACGTGCAATAGACGTACGCACAGGCTTCGCTAGACGAGGAAGTGTACCTGAGGCTCCCCGCTGGGTGCGGGGAAAAACCGCACACAAGACCGTTCAGGCTGATCGTGCCATTTACGGTTTGAAGCAGAGCGGTACGCAGTGGGGGTACCACGCTGCTGATACGCTAGTCGAGAACGGGTTCGAGCAGTGCAAGGCGGACCCATGTGTTTTCCGCAAGATGGTAGATGAATGGTGATGATTATCGTGATGTGCGTGGATGATATTTTGGTGGCTGGGTCTGAAGAGGATTGCACGGGAGTTTCTTGTTACTCTCAACAAGAAATTTCCCACCAAACCCTTGGAGAGTGTAAATGATTTGACGGGTGTGCCATTGAGAAAGGCGGTAGAGGCAGGAACTCTTATAATCTCCCAAACCGCGTGCATTGACAGCATGGTGAATCGCTTTGATGTACAATCGACCTCTCCCTCCCCTGCTTCCACTGGCGCCGAACTAGGACCGAAGCGAGATGGCGAGAGTGGGGGGGAGTGGCCGGTGAGGGAGGCCATCGGCAGCATGATGTGGGTGTCGACGTTCTCGCGCCCAGATGGCGCGTTCGCCGTGCGCTCGGTAGCGCGCCACGCCCACGCTGCGACGGAGAGGCCCTGGAAGGCTATCATGAAAATCCTCGCCTACCTGAAAGAGACGAGGGGCCTTGGCATCACTTATAAACGGGGATCGGGGGCAGGGCTGGTGGTGTACGTAGACGCTAGCAAGGCCGACGCGGCGGATACCCGTTCGGTGTCGAGGTTGGCGACGACGGATGGAGGTACCGTAGTCAGCCATGATAGCAAGACGCTGAGCATCGTGTCTTTCTCTTCGACTGAGGCCGAGTAGTACATAGCCGCCGGAGAAGGTTGTTTGTGCTTGCAGTGCTTTCGTTTGTTGCCCCAGAAACCAGTGACGGCAGCATCCAGGTCCTTGAGGACAACCAGGGGGCCATGACTTTGATGCAGAATCCCCTTAGTTCAACCCACGCTACAGTAAGCACATTGACGTGCGCTATCACTTCATTCGCGGGTTGTTTTGGTTGGGGGGTATTTCTATGCAGTATGTATGTGTTGGCGTCGGAGCAGCGTGCCGATCTGCTCACCAAGGCAAGGCCCTTAACAAGGCCAGTCTGCAGTACCGCCGGCGGTTGATGCATTTTGCCGGAGTAGCTGTAGCAGTTTTAGCACTTGGGAGAGGTCATGAATATCATGCGGGGAGAGACAATACCATCTCGCATTACTGTCGCGATCTGTGCACCTATGGCAGGAGTAGGGGGCGTTGGAGACCTTCGTCCGGGGGAACATAGTCTTCTTGCCTTCGCCTTGGCCTGTCTAATAAGTGCGGCCGTTCCACATCCGTCGTGATTTCTAGCAAAAATACATTTGTGTTGGTTGGGGTTTTTGGAGGGGGTTTTTCCGGGCGCCGGGTTTCCCCTCGACCACCGTATTGGCGTTTTCATTGATGTATCCTGTTTATGTTCCACTGATGGTTAATCACTTGCTGCGTGAAGAACCAGGGAGGGTGTTCGTGGGTCTACGGATTTTGTCACACAGATAGGAGAGACTACTAGTATTAGGGGGGGCCGTGATGATACACGGGGACCCTTCTTGCTTGTTGCGCTGTAGGCAGTGTCCATCTTGCGCCGCGCCCTGGTACGGGGGTTGTCTCATCTCCTGAAATTAATTCAACAGTCAAACAAGTCTACTCGATGAATACGCGGTAACGGTTTTCATTGCTTCAGTCGACAGAGTCGACTATTGTTGTCCTTCCCTCCTTTCCGCCCGGAGACTATGGACCTCTCGCCCCCCTGTAGCACTCTCCCGCGACTACGGCAGCCCCCCGTCCCCTTGGCTGCGAGAGAGCTCACATGGCGCGAGGAACTCCGAAAGTTCCTCTGTTGTCTTCCGTGGATCCGTTTGAGACGACGAACGCCTGGACGTCGTCCCTCAGATACTGCGCATATTAGTCTATTCCCAATTCCGCTCCGGGAAAATGTTTCTGGGCGTTGCCTGGATCCCCGCACGAGACTCCGATGTATTATCATGCGCTTCGGGAGTCGCCCATCCGGTTGTCTGTGGGTGACGACCAGCAGTCCTTGTAGCCGGACGGCACAGGTTCCACGCTTTAGCGTCCTACCTTCTCCGAATAGGGCCGTATTGTCAGTACCTGATAAATCGCAAAAAAAGGAGCGGGTGGTGCACCCTCCTCAGCCATTTCTTACCAGAAGAGGGGGAGGGATGGCACCATACTGTAGACCGAATTTCAAAGGCTTGTTGCTCCACGACCAAGGGGGTGCGGAAAGAGCCCGGTATGTCTTCGGAAAGCCCTCGACGACATGTTCCAAAAACCACCATTCATTATTGGTGTTGGCACAGCCTTGTGGGGCAATCTGTAGCTTGGAAATTGGTCAAAGCGGGGAAACGAAGAAAACGTCTATCGGCTGTATGTCTAGAACGGTGGGAAATACGCCGCGCGGCACGTCGCAGTACTACAGCAATTGCAACTAACTGGTCGGTCGGTCGGTCGGACTTCTTGTTAGATGTAGATACATATAGAGCACACCTGGACGGTGCATATTCTCCGACCCATATTCTCTCCTCTACGTGTATGTATATATATGACTGAATAGTTATCCGAAAGCAAGAACAATATTTCATGTATGACCACCTTCGACCACCTGGCTGGGAAGAACATGTAGACTAGACTGGTATCATAGAGAAAGAGAGAACGTGAGCAGAATCCGGAGGTACCACGCCGCCGTCTATCTACCCTCTCATGTCTTATCATACATACATGCGCATATAGCACCCTGAAGAGATGGCATCTGGCGTGGCGCTTGCTGACGGCTGTTGTACACAGAAAATTGCACACTCGGCGAGATACCAGGGCACCAGGGGCGATGTACAGCAGTAGTATCATAACAGTTCTATCATTTGTGTTCGGCGTAACTTTCGAGTATTTCGCATTTCCAGCGGGCCACTCTCCGTTCAAAGATCGGTTTTCTCGAGCCCTGACAGACCAGCATTTCTCCCACCATTTTTCACTTGGATTTAGAGTTCATTCTGTCTTTCCGCTTCTGGGCATGTTTCCGCTCCGCCGCCGCTCCGCCTTTTCTCGATCACGTGTGGAGCACTCTGTCTGCTCTCGGGTTTCTCTTCGCTCTCCGTCTGCCTCATTCCCTCTGCAGACTCTTCGCTCTCCGTCTGCCTCATTCCCTCTGCAGACCAGCACCAGCACTCTGTCTGCTCTCGGTTCGTTCTCTGCGCTCTCCGTCTGTCTGCAGCACCTCATTTCTGCACGCCCAGCATTCTGTCTGCCTCTTCGTCTCGGAACACAAATATAGTCTCCGTTCAAATATCGGTTTCTTCGAGCGCTCCGCCGCCGCTCCGCCTTTTCTCGATCACGTGTGGAGCACTCTGTCTGCT